AACATTTAATTTAATTTTTTTTTATTTTATAAAATAATAAATAAATAATTCTTTTTAATTAAAAAAATAGACGTGCATATAATTTGTGCAACGTGACACCCCCGATTGAATTTTCAACACTGGCTCGGTCTAAAGACCTCCTAAATTTTGGGCAAATTTTAAAAGTATAGAAGTCCCTTTCTGTCCTACCTTTTAAAAAAATAGCTCTATTAGTTGATAGAATATGTCTTTGGTTTTAATGTAGTAGGGTTCTATTCTTTTTTAAAACATGTACTTTACTATGCTCACAAGGAATTTGTCCACATGATAATTTCTAAATTTAGGAAAAATATTATCAAATTTAGACTAGCTATTGACTATCGTATCTAAATTGGGCAGAAGAAAACTAAAATCACATGAAGTCCTATTTTTTGAAAAATTCTATTACATTTTTGAATGAATTACAAAATTGCTATTTTGAAATTTGGCCACATGGTGCAGCAATAGGGGGTCTTTAGACCTAGCCAATCATATAATATAAAAATAGGAATGATGTGTTGATCGTCATGTGACTGCCATAGTAAGTTGATTTGGTTTGATCGGTAAATTGGGGACCTCTCTATCAATCCTCATTTTACTATCTCATAATATCATTCTTAAAGACTTGCAAAATTAAAAATGGCTATTAAAATGGGTTGCAGCAATATTACCTCTAATGTCAAGCGGACAAGATAAATTAGGTAATGAAAATTTAAATTGTATTTTAGTTTCATCTAAGGTTGTGGGTGAAACCTCCTTAGTAATTGCTGAAACCACAGCAAAACTATATTAAATCTTATCAAAAATCCTGTTGAAACTATGCCGAAATGGCAAAACCTCAAAATGCAAAACTCTGCCAAAACTCTAATAAACAATTAATGTGTAACCTGCCAAAACCCTGCTGATTGATTTCTGGATGAGTTTTGGCAAGCAACCTTAGTTTCATCATTATTTGTGATTTGAATATTGCCTTGCTGTAAAAGATCCTGTAAAGATTTAGGAATTCTTAAATAACTCAAATCATAGCCCCTCATTTATGATTAATGTTAAAATCTAGTTCTTGCATAATTGAAAGTTGTTCTATAAATCATCCTGAAAAAAAGTTCCTTGATTGATATGGAAATAATAAAAAAAACATCTACATAATTACTTATGTGAAAAATATCCATGAGTTACATCAGGAAAATGGGTACAAATATTATGCGTATATAATACGCAATTGCAGGGATTAAGCATATAATATATGTACAATTTGCATACATAAAAAAATATGCAATTGTGTATTATATACGCATAATATTTGTACCCATTTTCCTGATGTAAAGAACTGCTTTATATTGTGATCTACCTTTAAATGAAAAAGGAATTATGGTAGAAACTAATTTGGATGCCAAAAAGGAACTATCATCTATAATGTTAAGAGAATACAATATAATTTGATAACCTAATGACCAAGAATAATACTAACCAATGACTTGAAATTCTCACTTTTAAACAATAAAAACACCTACCAATGAATTTGCAAACTGAAAACTTTTATGTTTGTAGCAGTCTTAATAGGAACATCCAAGTGGTCAAGCAAGTGTGAAACTAAGTTTAAGACATCACTATGTAATGAATTCTTTGTATTGCCAACTGCATGATCTGTTTTTGGTGATGATGGTGAACCAGCAACCTCCATATGCCAAATTTCTTTATCATCAAACAATCAGATCCCTTCAGTATTTAAGAGATCATTGTTAAAAAATATTTGTTATTTACACTTTGCATCTGACTTGACAATTCCAGAGTTAGTAGATGATTTCATTAATTTTGATAATAGGAAGTATGATTCAATCCAGTCAATGGTTATATTTCTGAATGTTATTTCATAAAATTTAAAATCTAGTGTAAGAAAGGGTTTACTGGTGCGAGCGTGTAAATTCAAATACCGCTCGTGAGGTGTCCAATAAATATATAAGATAAAATAAAATAAAAAGTCCAATATATTAATCTCCCTGTATCGGCACACAGCTCAGGGTTCTCAAGTCTATACCAGGCCTCTGTATCGGCACACAGCTCAGAGCCTAAAATCTCTCTCTCTTGCGCAATCTCTCTCTACAGTACTAATGGAAGTACTGCTGGCAAAGCCTAAAAATAATCAATAGATATTCCACTGTCTGACTAAGGCGTCCCTTAGTTAGTATGGTCTTAATTTGGGTGAGGTATGCTTTTCAGCAAAGGTTTATTAAGGATTTTATTAGAAGTTTGATTTATTGTAAAAGTGTTATGTGTCTTTATTAGCGATAATATTTCTGTTACAAGGTTATTATTATATTATTATTATTATTGTATCATGAACATGATGATTCTCACTTGGTCTAAAACCAAGCCTATTTATACCTCTTGAGGTATTACAAATAACATGACCTTTACAATATTTTGTCCAATAATATATGCTTATTAATCCTATTTTCTGTAATACTAGCTTACTAATCATTAATTACTAATGCTATGACTCATAATGACTAATCCTATGAGTCACTATTACAAATAATTGAATTAATAATTAAAAGTAAATAATTATGTCATAAAATAAGTTAAAAATAGAAATGATGTAATGTGTAACATGACGCAGTATGTGGCGTAGTTGTTACACAAAATATTAAGATAAAAATAGAAAATGATGTCATTGTTATGTGGCTGCCGCAGTAAGTTGGTTCCCGATTGATCGACATGCTCGGGACTTCCCCAGTCCTTATTTACAATCTCACACTGGTCACTTTATAAATCCTGGGCACTTATTAGTCAAGGCAGAATGCCATGAACATACAAAGTGGTTTGGGATTCGGAAATTCTTTGACAGCCTGAGTGGGATACTTGGAGTCTGTATACAGACTCCAAGTATCCCACTTAATGCGGACTATAACCCACCCGAAAATGACGAGCGTTTTGCATTTGCCTCGTCATTCGAGTGACGTGCATTTTGCATTTGCCTCGTCAAAGATGGGATGTTTATAGTCCACTCATCGGGTGACGTGCATTTTGCATTTGCCTCGTCAAAGATGGGAGTGACGTGTGTTTTGCATTTGCCTCGTCATTCGAGTGACGTGCGTTTTGCATTTGCGTCATCATTCGAGACTGTGTCTAATTTTTGTATATCAGATTGGTGATCCCGGGTGATTTAAAACGCAAAGAGTTCAGTGAGCTAGGTTATGATACCCCATGTGGAATTCTAGGTTATTCCCCTCTCAGGTGTGACGTGCGTTTTGCATTTGCGTCGTCATTCGAGACTGTGTCTAATTTTTGTATATCAGATTGGTGATCCTGGGTGATTTAAAATTTAAGGCGCTCAGTGTGTTAGGTTATGCAACCGCGTTGGCCTCATCGCGTGTTTGATGGGTCAAACATATTTTATATGTCATTTGATATCGTATGCTACCACGTATATGCTATCCGGTTATGCTATGAGGCAAAGCCTCGAATCTCTGATTCATCAAATATGCATTGCGTAATTGCTATCGAGTACGTTACATAATTGCTATCGCGTATGCCATATACACGCTATCTGGTTATGTTATCACGTAATTGCTATCGGCTATGCTATCAAAATGTAATCGTCTATGTCCACTATCCTAGAATGCGGTTAAAATGGACCTGCTCGCGTCCAAGAGAAAAAAAATGTCCAGGTTCCGTCCAGGTAAAAATATGTCAACTTGGACAGATAATATTATGGGAGAAAAAGCTTTATTTTTGTTTTAACTTGTTCTTCTATACTTATTCTATTTTCGTCTAAGTTGTCTAGGTAAAAAATAGGATTCTAGGAAAAATATCAAACTCTTTCCTATGGTATATGCTATATATATCTTTGGTACATATACGACATATGCTATATACATACCTTTGCTACATATACGACATATGCTATATACATACCTTTGCTACATATACGACATATGCTATATATATCTATGTCGTATGCATAGATTAAAAATATAAAAGTAAGAAGTTCGAGAATTTACCTAGACAACCTAGACAACTTGGACGGCTAGTCTAAAACTCTTTCTTCCGTCTCAAAAGCAACATCTAGCTATCTTTTTTACGTCCAAGAAATCCGTCCAAGAAAAAATCCGTCCAAGAAACCTGGACGCACCCCCCAACATATACCTTTATACTATGTATTTTTTCCAACCATCTCAGTACCATCTTGTACCATCTTCTCCAGCTTTTTTCGGTGATATCGAGCCCGCCTTCGATATTTATCTGCATGAGTATCACAATAGTCATAACCAGAATAGGTCAACTTACCACATTCCTTACAAGGTACGCGTGGTGGAGAATCCCGGTGAACTTTGCATCCATTGGGATGATAGCAACCTCGATTGCAAACTTTTCCAGTCCTAAGAATGTAAGGGCAATGATAAAATCCCATATCTTTATAATTTTTGATATAATAGTAAATATCTACTGATAACTATTCTTTAGAATTAATTTTCATTTTGAACTTTTTTATCCGGGATAATATACCAACAGAATTACCATGACTACTTATAGTAATCACAATACCCCTACTGTACCCGCATCGTCCGATATACCAACTGTGGAAAACCAAAATTTCCAGGAAAACATTAATCACGCACCAGCAGAGGCGGAAGTACCACCTTCTCGACCGGATAGCCCAGAAAACTCGGAGAATTTCGAGCCAGGGATAGAGGAGGAAAATAACGGGGCGTTCTACCACCGGGGCTTTAAAGCTTTTCCTCAATCACAGATTTCGGAAAATGAAAAGGTAAGCCAGGCATTTCGCTATAATGGAGAAGATTATTTATTTTCTTGTCCAAGTCGTAATAGTATAATCGCAGAAAATGATGACTATGGATCAACGGCAACTATTAAACGGACATTAATTACTGGAGAAAATATTCCGTTTATGCCTTGTGATATAGAGGAATATAATGAGTATATAAATAATACCCCCCATTATGTTTTACGGCTTTATGGTTATCTTGTTAATGGTCAAAAAGCCGTAGTAACTATTTCAGGTATTAAAGTTTTCTTCGATATTCGTGTCCCTGATAACCAGAATATCAATATATTCGAAACTGGAATAAAAAATATTATCGCTAATGGGAAAAATGGTGAGGGGGAAACTATAGATATGACTGATCTCCAGATAGAACATATAAAAGCATTTCCTATTCGAGGATATTATGTAGAAAAAAAGCCATACCTTCGTATTGTTACAACTTCTGCCAAACAAAGAAAAATTGCTCTTAATATTATTTTAGAATATAATTCGAAAAATGAAAAAAAGTTCGAAACTGCCTCAGACGATACAACAAGTATATATTATCGAAAGGTTGCTAGAGAATATAGGATACCACTCTCTGAATGGGCTTTATTAACTAATTACGAATACAATAACCATAGAATGTCTTATAGCACCCGCTCTCCACTTTGTGAACATGCATTTTATTTGTCTATTAATAACTTCCGTCACATAGAAAATCCCTCAATTTTATCTAAAACTTATCCTTCTCAACTTATTACTCATGACCGAGCATTAGTCCTTGCATGGGATATAGAAACATATACAACGCGTGGATTAGAGTATCTACCTGAGGCTCGATACAAGGAAGATAACATATTCATGATCTGTATAACCGTTCACTGGAAAGATGACCCAAAGTCATTGAAACAAATCTGTCTTGTTGATGTAGAAATGACACCAGATCCAAATTGGATCACTATTGTATGTGGAAATGAGAGAAATCTGTTAAAAGCATTTGCACTATGTTGGCGGGCTTTAGCTCCTGATATCGAACTCACCTTTAATGGATCCAAGTATGACTGGCCATTTGTAGTAGAAAGAGCCACCCAGCATAAAATTCTAGATTGGATGGTGGCAAAGATGTCAGCAAATCCATGAAAAAAAGCTACGATTGATTCCATTCTTCGTTGGAATTATTATGGAGGGGTAGGTGAACCTTTCTATAAAGATTTCTTCCATAAAGAGCATATACATATAAAGGAAGATAAGGGGGATAAAAAAATAAAAAATCGCAAGGGAATTGAGATCAAGATAGATTCGGATAAAGATTTCAAATCCACTTTTCTTAAAATTCCAGGGTGTATTTCAATTGATGTGGTAGTATGTTGTAAAAAACTTTATCCGAAATCTGAGAAAAAGTCACTTAACCATTTCTTAAAAATTAATGGTCTTGATAGTAAAATAGATTTACCAATAAAAACTATGAGGAAATATTATACGCAGAGTAAGGAGACCACCACCCCTGAAACTACTGAAAATATTCATAAGGTTGCTGAGTATTGTATTGTAGACTCTCGGAGTTGTCAAAGTCTTATGGTTAAGAATAATGTAATAAATGATTATAGAGACGTGGCATCAATTGCTTATGTATCCTTATTCGATTCACATTATTATGCTGTGGGTATGAAAGTACGTAATTTATTGGGTGTTGAAGCATGGAAATGAGACATATTAATCACTATGATTACTTCCGGACAAACAGAAAAAGACAAATTCCCTGGAGCTTATGTATTTCCTCCAGATAAGGGTCTAGAAGATAAATATCCTGTTACGGGTTTAGATTTCGCATCTTTATACCCAAGTATTATTATGAACTATAATCTCTCACCAGAAAAAATGACCTTATCTTCTAATGAAGCAAATTATTTAAAAGAAGCCGGGGAAATTCTCCATAAAATCGAATTCCCTTTTAATGGCCAAACTTTATATGCTTGGTCTATAAGGCATGGGAATAAAGATAATAAAAAAGGATTATATCCATCGGTTTTAGAAGAACTACTTAATAAACAAAATAAAATGAAGGCTCAATTGGGAATACTCGGTAAAATAAAAGAGTATATGGAATTAGTCATTAGTAAAATAAAAGAAAAGAATTTATCGGTGGCCAATACTATTGATTATATCCTAAAAAAATGCTGAAGATGAAAAAAAACGTGCCACTATGAATGAAATCTTAATCCCTTTCATTAATGAAACCCATGAGAAATTTATGATAGATTATAATTCCATCTGTTTTGATTACACCTACCTAGATTCAAAACAAAAAGCTGTAAAATTATATATGAATTCCTTTTATGGAGAAACAGGTAATGGTCTATCTCCATTCTTCTTCCTACAATTGGCTGGTGGTGTTACATCGGCAGGACAATATAACATTAAACTTGTTGCTGACTATGTAACCAAGGAGAAAGGTTTTGGAATCAAATATGGGGACACTGATTCTCTATATCTCACATGTCCTATTGAATATTATAAAGAATGTGTTCTCGCTTATAATAATGGTAAAGGTACAATTTCAAAGTTGGAGTATTGGACCGAAATGGTTAATATTACTATGAAAGTAATGGAGAAATTACGTGATGATGTAAATACATATCTTAGAATAAAGAATAGATCGACATATCTAAAGATGGCTTATGAGGAGGTATTGTTTCCTGTTGTCTTTACTGGTAAAAAGAAATATTTTGGAATACCGCATAAGGATGTTCCAAACTTTAAACCAGAAAAACTTTTTATTAGAGGAATCGATACAGTGAAACAAGGTAAATCCCAACTTTTTAAAACTATAGGGGATCGAATTATGTGGGGGGTTACAGATATCAATAATACACATTCACTCCATGAGATTGTTGAAAATACTCTCAGAGATGCAATATCCAATCCTAAACAATGGAATTTTGATCAGTTTATAGAGTCAGCTGTATGGAAACCTGATAAAAATAATATACGTATCCAACAATTTATAAAACGGATGAGAAAAGAATACGAAAATAAGATTCCGGATCCAGGAGAACGCTTTAGTTATGTAATGATCCACCCGGATTCACTCTTTGGTTTATCTGGTAAAAAGCTTACACT